CCTTATAACCCCCAAACACGCCATTTCACTGCACCACTAAATCACGCCTCAAATTTTTCGCGCCTCTCTCAAGATTTACTGTTTATCATTTGCTTCCCTGCTACGTAACCGTGAAAAACTTCGTTCCATCTCAAATGGCTACTTCACAATCTCAAGCTGGCGACTCCTTTACTTTCGATGACTTTCAGAAACTCCTGAGTCGTCCATACATAACTCCGAGTTTCCTCGCGCCCGTCGACGTTGAACGTAATGAGTTCTACTTGGGTCCTTTCTTCAATAATGCAGAGGCAGTTGAACAGGTGACGGTGGGTCAGCTATTTTCTTGCACTCAAGGCCCTCCATTTTTGAACTCTCTACCGCTGGGGCCACTTCGCGAAAGAGGTATTCGCATTTGGCCTAAATCTGATGTAGCTTTCCGTAGGTGACATGCTCGCCTTGTGGGTCATGGTCCTACTAAGACACTTTTTGATAGCGCTAGGATTTCTGATTTGTTAGAAATCTCTATTCGCCCCCTACTTTTGATTCAGCACTCTTTTCGATTGCTTTGAGTTTTTGGTCTCCTGAGTATAACACCTTTATTTTCCCTCTTGGCTCCATGTCTATTACCTTAAGGGATGTTGGGGCCCTGGTGAATCTACCACCTTTGGGCGACACTATTTTTCCTGGTATCTTGGTTTCTGGTGGCGCCCCAAAGTTTGGTAAAAACTACACCGATTTTTATTCAAGTCTGCAAACCCTTCACAATCATTCGAGCGTTGAACCTTCTCATGCCGAGCGAGTGGCCTTCCTTTTAGTTTGGCTTTGTAAATATGTTTTGTGTGTGCCAAGCATAAAACCCTCCCTGAGTTATTTACCTATAGCGCACGAATTGGCGCGTAGCAGGCCTTTGAATTTATGTTCTTTGTTTTTGGCTGCTCTTTATAGAGGCATGGCCTCTCTTCAAGCTCAATTGAAGAATGGTGCATCTCCCACTGGCAGTGGACCTCTTTGGTTCACTCAACTGTGGTTGAGATCCTATTTTCCATTGCTTGGTACTCCATCAATCTCTCGCTCTTCTGCTAGCTGTTATGGGCTAGCCATGGAGCCCTTAGCTCCTGTAAATATGTCCAGAAAGGACTTTTTTTCATTCTTTTACTCTTTAGATTCAATCCCTTTCTTTTTTCCTTTTTCTCGTTTTTCGACTCCAAACTATGTACATCCCCCTTCCACTATAAATAGCGCGAGTACCTCCCTACTCATTTGGATCCAGTTTTTAACCGGGAGGGAGCTATTTCATGATATTCTAACTGGGACCAATGCCAAGGCGGGGGTAAAAATTTATGCTCCCCAATTTTTTGCTCGTCAGCTTGGTTTCGGCCAAACTTGGCCTGTTCCCCCTTGCTATTCAAGGAACTTAATTGACCGTTTTTATACCATTAATAAGGCGGAGGCAGAGGCTATAGATGCTCGTAATCTTCTTTTAACCAGCTATTTTTCATTAGCCCCTTTCAATTCTAGCCACGCTATTCACCCTCTTTTTGAACAACTCTGGCCGTCGGTGAAGCGCAGATTATTTGCGACTAACGCCAATCGTGCCTTTCATTCATTAGACCAACCGAGCATTTCTTCTCCTCCTCCTGTTTTGGTCGCTCCTTTGTCTGTTCGGAGTCCTTCTCCTTCTCGTCGCACTAAACAGTCTGCTCGTCCATCTTCTTCTCTCCCTGCCAAGCCTACTATGGCCAAGAGTGCCCCAAGCCGCAAACGGCCAGCTTCAGCATCTCCCATTCTGGAGGATGATGTTGATGATGATGCCCCTCTTATCGTTAGGAGGAAGGTAATTAAATTAGTTTACTCACAAGTATACTTTCCCACATTTGAAACTTTTTCTGTGTGCTGATGATCTTTTGGACTTCTCAGAAAAGCTCAGCCTCTCCTTCAAAGGCTTTAACGTTGACAACTCCTACTCCATCATTCTCTGTTGAGGCTACTTCATCCAAACTGGTTGATGAGGGGGCTCCACTTAAAGAGACATCTTCAGTCCCAGAGTTCTCATCACAACCCGTGGATGAGCCACCTTCTTACCAGGGCGTCAACCCCCCAAACATTGAAGCAGAAGGTAATTCAGTCTTTTGATGTCTTACCTTTGCTTGTGCTGTTGGTTCCTGATTTGTTGCTCTTGAGTTTTGCAGATACTCCTGTGAGTCCGCCCGTTGTGGCAACATCTTCTCGCTCAGATAAGGGGAAGTCCTCAAGAATGGAGGAGTCGTTGGTGGCAAGCTTGGCTGAGGGCATGCCATCTTCTACGATTGTTGATGAGGTAGTCTTTGCTTCACTCCTATTTCCATCTTGTTCGTTGTAGTGAGGATCTTTAATATTGGCAATTTTCTTTGCAGGATGCTGACAAAATTGTGCGTTCTATCCAAGACTTATTCGCTTCCTGGGGGCAAGTCCAGACGTCTCGCCCTGCTCCATTTGATCATCCTGCTGCTTCTTCAGAGGAAGATTTGAAGTTCCTCAAAGAGTCGATACTTGAGTACGTATTCTTCATGGATATGGATATTGGAAGGGCTAGTGCCGCCAGACACAAGGATAAACTTGAGCACTTGAGTGCGAAGTTGGAGCAAGCATTGACGCTTCCGTCGCTCAATCTTTCTGCCGATTTTAAAGCGACGTTGAAGGTTATCCACTCCGAGGTCCTTTCTTTGCTGGTCAAGAATGCTGAACTAAAGGCCAAACGTACTCAATATCTTCGAACCGTAGCTGAGAAAGAGTCTTTGCGCATGGAGATTAACAAGGCTGAGGACGAGTTGAAAGAAATCTCTTCCGAAGTCATGGTTGANCCATTTGACCAAGAAACATTGAAGGAAGGTTATTTTATCAAAATCATTGTTTGACTAGGCTTTTTTATCAAATCCCCCTTTTTCATAAGGATAAAGCTATTCAAACAGGTAAAAATGACAGAGATTGAAAATAGGTGCTGCGTAATAGCACTTGCCTTCTTCTTCTTCTATTTATTTATTTATTTTATATATTTTTTAAACTGATCAATCAGTGTTTGACACGTGTCCTCTTTTTTTAAAACCTGTTTCCAACACTATTTGTGTAGCAGAGTCCTTTTCATAACTATGTCATTAATACAATTCTATGACAATTTAATTGTTAGTCATTCCCATAACATTTCGTGTGTCCTTATCTGTAATGTGCTGTTTGGACACATAAAAGGTTATTAGGACTTGAGTTTTCAAAGTTATCATTATCTTAATCCGCAATCTAATGACTTAAGTGGATTCGAATGTGACATC